GCATAGAGGAAGGCATCGGTTTGACCAAATGACTCGTCCTAGACTGCAAGTGATAAGAGAGAAAATAGCTACCACATGGACGGTTTTGCACTCAAATCTTGTTTTGAACAAAACTCACCCGATTTTGAGACTTGAGGGACCAAATGTCTCCCAAAAGTTCTTACGGGACTAAGTGTATAATTTTGGCACACTCACAAATATACTTTTCTCTTTTAGTTACTAGCTTCAAACTTAACCGATTTTTACTAGTTTTGGCAACTTTTTTAAACAGTAGTGGCAAATTTAGAAGTTGATGTTGTATGTTGCTACTTCCAACAAGAAGGCGTGAAGGCTTGTGTGAATACATCGAAATCACAAGATACTTGCTCATACAACACTATCATGTGTTTCTATCTTACATTATCTGTGCGGATAATTTTGTACACGGTCAATTTTACATTATTTGTGTGGGTAATTTTGTACGAACCGAGATGGCAATTTCATTCGAGAAACCATGACAACGCTGTGATGAACCAAGTTCTGTATAATGTTTGAAAACCAATGTATATAAACAAACTTTTGGCTAGGTTGAACTATAGGGGGCTCATCCAATGGTAATTTCAATTTTTTTTGCCATGGTTTTATTTATCTGTCAGCAACTTGCGTTTTAAAATCACCTTGTTCAATCGTGTATTTCTCTTTTTGCAGTTAGTTCTATTTGGTAGCTCAACTCATAGCATATCATAGTGACAACTTTAGTACTCCCTCCGATCATATAGAGGCTGCATCAATTAGTTCAGATCGGAGGGAGTATATAATGTGACCTGGGCAAGTTTGTACGCTGTGCCATTTTGCTGGCACATACCTAAATTTCTGTTTTGCTACATTTTTATGAGACATGGCAATTCTAAATGGTGTAGAATGTGATGACTTTGGGTCAGGTGATGGGATCTCTTTATTTCTTTATGGTGGCAATTTTTGATTTCACCAAAAGAATTACTTAGAAATTAACAAAAAATGGACACTTTTTTTCAGTCAAGGGTTAGTAGTACTCCCTCCGTATAAAGAAATATATGAGCATTTAGATCACTAAAATAATTTTTTTAAGGAGGGTTAGTTTTTTTCCAGCCGGCGAGCGCCAATGGACCACGGCCCGCGCGAGCCGCGTGAACGTCATAGCCGCATAAAGCCCAGGCCCAAGGCAGCACACGGGGAGGAGGGAGGGATAAGCCACGTCTCCCAGCCCCTCAAAAAAACAAAAAAAGCCACGTCTCCCAAATTGCCGCACTAAAAAAAAACCCGAACCCTAGCACGGCGCCGCCAGCGGCAGCCATGGCGACTGACGCCGACCTCGACATGGCCGCCCCCGCCTCTCTCGACGCCCCCGCCTCTTCCGCCGCCCGCTTCCACCCCAAGGTAAGGGGCAAGGCGAAGGCGAAGCTGAAGCCGAAGACGAAGCCCAAGCCCAAGTCCGGATCGGAGGGTGGCGTGGATGCGATGGAGACGGACAGGGTGAGTGCCGGCGAGAGCGCGGATCTTGAGGACGAGGACTTCGTGGTGCGGGAGATGGACGTGTATTTCACGCCCAAGCCCTTCGACAAGGACACCAAGCTCTACATCGCGCAGTACCCGCTGAGGCCATGCTGGCGCCCTTACGAGCTCGGTGAAGTGTGCAAGGAGGTTCGCGTGAGGCCAGAGAGCTCAGAGGTTGAAGTGGATCTGGAGATCGATACAGAGAGTGACAACTACGACCCGGAGGTTTCTGCATCTTTGGGGCTGACAGAGCAGAGCTGTGTTCATCGGAGGCAGCAGCTGATGTGGCCGGTTATGCCGTCGGGGTTCTTCGAGGCGGCTTGGTTCATCTGAATCATCTTGATGCAGTTCTGCAGCTGCGACCATCAATGGCGCATCTCATTTCCGGTGCATCACGTACCACGAGGCAGCCTTTACAAGAGGTAGAAACAAATGGACTGGCGGTTCCATCAGTTAAGGGAGATGATTCAGAATCTGATCGATGGATTTCTCTCACTTATGAACCAGCTGGGAGTGATGTTGCAAGCAGGTACTATGCTGAGATGATGGCAATCGAGGGCAGGCCCATGGATTTCACAATGAGCACAAAATATTATGCAATGTCATTGTGTCCTGGAGGGCCGACAGGCAGCAAGCATATTAACAGATGCGAGGTGTTACGGGAGATGCGTTCACTGCCACCGGAAGTGCGCTTCAAGAAATGGTTTACTGAGGTGTCACAGGTGAATCGGTTTGATGCTCTGATGCATCTTGCTCCAGACTGTTCGGAGGAAGACCTTCTGAAAATTCTTCCAGTGTACGCAGATTTGGTGCGTGGTTTATGGGTCTGCAAAAGCTCTTTGCTGTATGATGATGGGCTTGCTTCCAAAAGGGATAAAGTTCTGCTCGGATTTACAAAAGGGGAGTCCATATCAGTGAAATATCTAGAGAGACTGATTAGAGATGAGCAAACGAGGAACATGATATTGAACCCACGGGGTAAAAGAAGGGAGAAGCTTCAAGACTACAAGTTTATTGTACCAGCAGATTCATCATTCATAAGACGTTATTCCCATATAGTCAAGGAGCAGGAAAATGCTTGGTCAGTCCGCCTAAGAGCCTGAAGAAATGGCTTACTAATAGAAGCTATGTTACACTATCCTAAGAGCGGCTACTTTTTTATCTTGTCATATTAGATTCTTAGTGCAGTGGTCCTAGATTGCAACCCGAGGTCATCCTGTTGCTACTTGTTGTAGTCATTTTCCAACAGTAAGAAGTAGGTTCTCTTCAGAAATGAGTAGCGTGTGCTCTTTGGGTGGGTGGACGGTATTCTTGCAGATATATTGCAATTTATGTTGGATACAGCTTGCAACCTTATTTCCTTCAATAATTTATATTTGCCCTTCTATTTGTGCTATACTACTTTACGAAACAATTGATTACCTCTGATTAGACTCTGATTTATGGTATTTGTGTGTGGTTAGGCCGGGCAGATTACACGCACATATACCAAGTAAAAATGGAAGGTCAAAAGAAAGCAAATTAAGGCATTGCTATTTGTTGGCGCCCTTTATTACTACTCTGCTTTGAACCCAGAGTTCAAATCCAGACATTGCACATAGGAAGACAGGACTTAATATTTGACAACACTGTTGTGATGGTATAGTGTTAGTGATTCATGTAAGGAAGATCTATTATGGGGTATAATTACCCTTGTGTTAGAGAGCACTCTCTGGCTCTCTGCTAACTCGGGAGTTTTAATCCAGGCATTGCAATAGAACTATTGGCTGATTACACAAAAGAAGACATGACTTAATATTTGACAGCACTGTTGTGATAGTATATTGTTAGTTATGTAAGGAAGATCTTTTATGGTGTATCCCTTTGTTCTACAGAGCACTCTCTGCTTTTTATTATTTTACTTTATGAAAAGAAAAATATGCAAGTACCTTCCCAATCAAAGAGTTTGGCTGTCGGATTTTACATATTGACCGTAGGGAACTTGCATGAGTTTAAAACTTATAAACTCTTCAATTTGAATGGTTCATCTACTGAAGCAATCTGTTTGGAGTAGTCTGAGCACTGCCTGTAGCATGATATCACGACCGCTTCCACAGCAGGGGTTTCGTGCAGCACAGGTAATCTTCCTCTCCTTCCTCCTCTACTGTCTCTAGCCGTCCTCTCCCTCCAGATCTCACTTTAGCTCTTATGTGCAAGAGTTTGCACCATGAATGAAAGCCGAGTAGATTCTCATTTCATTGCTGTATGCACATGAGCAATGAATCATCTTGGAAGAATTTCTACCGCCTATGTAATTTGCTTGATATGTGTATGTCTGAGCATCGTCATCAGTCCTAATATAGCTCATTATTTGTACTTTATTTTTGGTCCATGATGACTGTATGTTCGCAATGAAACAAAGGACTGGAATTGACAATTTCCTGGTTTAGTAGTCATTAGATTATTCTTTGGTTTCTGTTTGCCGGATCTTCTGTTGCTATGCTCAGTTCTCTGAAAGTTCCTCTTGTGAAGTGTATCAAAGTGGTTGTGACTGTAGTACTTCTAGGCTATATGTTGAGTAACCTGGCAGACAAGAACATTTGGCTGTACTGCATTGTCTCTGTGTGCATGTTGTCTGTCAATTTTTTGTGGTATGAAGCATATACGCACGATGTATGTCCTGATTTTCTGTATGCTCTTTGTTCTTCAGAGTTTATACTTAAATCAGTCTTGATTAAATCGATAAAAAGCAAGTTATCCTAGTAAATCTCCTGATCAATAGAGAAGCACTTCAATCTATGTAGTTTATTTGGTATAAACCTCAATTGTACTTGTGATTAAGTTTATCAATGTTAAAAATAATTTCAGGCCATCAAAAGGAGATTTGCCAGATGCAAAATAAATTGTTCTTCAGAGATATGCTTGATTGAATTGAGCAAGATAAGGTCCACAGTTGCATTGTTCTTCACATGCAAACTAAATTGTTGTTGAGAGATAGACTAGATTGTATTGTCGGATCTGCTTGAAAGAATCTAGTTTTAGCTAACTTTTCATACATGGTCTGATAATTGCCTACTATTTTTAGATTCTTAATTATGTCACTGTAATTGCTCAACAAGCTTGCCAGTTGTGAGTTTGTCCCACCTAATGGAGTTTCTGTGTGTGTTATGCAGCCTGGAAGTAATCCTGATGCTGCTAAATGCAGTTGTGTTTGGCTTCCTTCTGCATCGAAGGTTAATCATTGCTTTCAGGTCAGCCTATGGCATGATGTGGTTTCTGTTGGAAAATAATTGTTTCTGCAATTAAGGTTAGGTTGTCATTTGTTAGCTGAAAGTAACTAATTTAGTTTCTTGTGTTATCTTTAGCCATTCCTTATCATTTTATCTGGTTCTGCAGGATTGCAGATCATAGAGGTACAATTTGGTCATATTTTTCGACGCGAGTACCTCACCTAGATGCCATGCTAATGCAGTTTGACAAGAGTCGTAATAAAACTAATGGATAATGGTGTTTCTTACTCCTTGGCCTCATCATTGTGAGGACAAGAGCCTAACTGGACATGCGTTTGAGCAGCTGTATCACAGAACTTCACAAGAGGTACTCAGATTCATCTCCTCGACACACCATAAGCCAGTTGTTTCTCTTCAGGACTTTGGCGCCTGATCCACTTTGAGAACGGTGAGTGATTCAGCGGTGGAACCTGCAACAGGGTATTGCCTTACAAGAAGGGAGAGTACAGTGGGAAATATGTGGAACGTTTCATGAGGGGGATTGAGCTTCATGAGTTCAACGAGGCCATAACAGCGGTCAATAGTCTAGTTCAAGGGATGTGGTGAAACTGAAGCTCTTGGACACTTGCAGCATTTCGTCCATGAGGCCTGATGGCCATGCTGGTCCTTGCAGGGTGTTCCATACATTTGCACAGGGCAGCAACAAGGATTGCTCATCGGTTCAGAATGATTGCCTGCATTGGTGCGTGCCCATCGACGCCCGGAATGATCTGATCATGAAGTTGGTTCTGAACTGATGAAACCTGTAGATGTGTACTATGTTGCGCTCCTTGCAGGTCACAAGATACTGGTTGGGTTCAGACACTAGACCCAGCGAGTTAAGAGTTCAACAGTGTTGAGTGTTGACCCTGTTTGTTGTATCCAGCACCACCACGGTCTCCCACCTTATGTATGTACGCCAAACCGTTTGACTACACTCGTTACACGTAGTGTAGCCAAGCCAAATCGTTTGACTACACTAAGTGTACGAGTCGCTCCAAACCTCCAAATGGTTTGGAGCGACTTCAGACCAATCAAATTGTAGTTGCGCCAGACCGTTTAACTACATTCGTACATTTGACGTAGCCATATTTTTTGGCCACGTGGGTATGAGCAAAGTTAGTACAAAGTTGAGTCACTTATTTTGGGACAAAGGGAGTACTATTTATGTATCAAGTTTGGTTTAGTAGAAGGGAGCTACGAAATTATATCTCTGCGTCAGCTCGTATCATCACGAGCAGTGAACTGAGCCGGAGGAAACAAGGCATGGAGTTCTTGGACGGGCACGAGGCCGGTCGGTCATGGAATGGAAGCAACAGGCAGGAGGCTAGGCCGATATATCAGCTGATAGAAATAGAAGTAGCCGTGTACCCTGCTGCAGGGATCGAGCATTCGAGCGGGACCAGGCGCGCATGCAGCGCGCCAACTTCAATTCCATTCCTGCTCCTCCGCTCCGCCGCAGACCGATCCACGTCCGTCCGGGACGACGATGGGGTCGCTGTCTGTCGAGGAAGCATTATTGATCGATGGTGTTGGAGGGTGGCTCACCTACCTGCCGGCTACCGTCGTTCTGTTGTTCCGTGTGACGCCGAGACCGGCCACCGGGCCACGAATTAGCGGTGCTTATTACTTTGGTCCCTAGCTTGTGAATTAGCTGCTCCTGCTCGTGGTCGTGCCGCCGCTGCAGTGATGTTCTTGCCTTGGCCGCCGGCGGCGATTCTGTTGGCTGGCCGTTTGTGCCTGAAGATGCATGGAACTACGCATGTGACGCCGACGACACTGACGGAGACCGATCGGGCTCAGCACCCCGTGCCCCCATTGCTAATTGCTGGCACTACTTGCAGGTAGGAGTACGTACGATCAATCTACAAGGTTGGCTGATCTTGCTTCTTCTTCTTCTTC